TTCTTTCTTGATTTCTTTAGTGGTGAACGTGAATCATGGTTTATCTCCAGCTATTCTGAAGGCTTTTAGCTTGACCTTGAAGGTTTCTTGAACTAGATGATGGTATGAGCCCACATCTGCTCCTCTTCTCGAATTTGTATCCAGAAGACTGCGTCTCCACTTTCCTGAGATTGGAGTGAAGCCTTGCATATATCCTTGTGATTGTACATGCTGCCTCCATTCACCAGATCGCTGAATGGATGGGAGTCGGAGAAAAGTAGTTTTCTTCCGTTTGACTAATCATATCAGTACTGCCTGCTATCAAGATAGAAGTAATCAAAAAGCCAGACAGTCGCTGTGCCTGTTTGGGGCTGAGCACATCAGTAATATAAATGACGAATTTGATTCTATATATGGCCAGTTCGCCCAAGTAGCGAGTCAGAATCTAAATGGTTTGAAATGACTCGGCTCTCTGATCTGAGCAGAAATCGGTTACAGTGTTGATGCAGCCGGCCTCCAGAAAGTGAAATAACCATCCAGTGTTCAGATCACTTCAGTCTAGCTAGCAAAAATTACAGTCGTTTCCGACTACTCATTTCTATCAACCAGTAGTATATTACGTCAGCCAAAAATACATATTGATGGAGGTTGGATTTTATCACACCACTCAAATCATATTTAATTGTAGAAACTTTTAACATATTTTTTAATGTATGCTAATAATTCACCCGTTTAATGAACATATTTCATACTGTTTAGTGTCTAATGGTCGCAGGGCAAATGCTATCAAGTAAACGAGATGTTCATTTCACAGATGATGACTACACAACGGCGGCTATGATTTATTTCTTATTAATATTGCAAGCAGTGACGTCAACAGTTGGACCGTTTGAAACAAATACAACAAAATCAAATGAAACAAGTTTATTAAGTTCAATATCATTGTTTGTGACTACAGACTAGGTAGAAGATAGTCTGTCAGTCAGAATTTAAATTATACAAATATTGATTTCCTATATGTGTTAATCAGAAAGTCATCCAATCAGATTTCACCGTGTTTGCTGCCCACCAATCGGCCCAATACTGTAACCTATAATTAGTTTATGATACTATTTTGTATGACGATTGTAATTATATCTTTGTTATTACACAGTACTTCTGTCTGTCTTGCTCGCTCCTTTTGAAAATACACATTTCCATTATTAATGTGTAATTATATACATTCCACGAGTAAGTCTTCTTAAAATTACCAGTTTAGATCAGTGAAAATCGACTACGAAATTATCAGGTGTTCATCATGCTTAACCTTATTCATGTGGAAATTCAGCAACGTAACAATTATACACCGTATTATTACACACAATCTACAACTCAGAAATTTCTATGACTAGCGTACGGGGATACTTAAAGATGAGCTTTATTTAAACTGTTTATCGAATTTCCTATTTTGAATCGCAATCAAGAATGTAAAGAATACAATTTCTGCGGAAGGATAGCAATTTTAAGGCATGTCAATATAAGGTGAACAATATCCTACCAGCTCGACATTTCATATTACATAAGTTTATCTGATATAACGCACAGTGAGTGACATAGTATTGTAACGATAGAAGAGAAGGGCCAGGCAACTGATTGTTTATTGAGAAAATCAAAAGGTATTTATAGATTTATTATTAGCGGAGAGGCATCCTCTTCTGATTGGTTGTTTTCTTGCTCGAGGTTATCCCGAACTACTTGTGACCGTTTCTCAGAAAGTTAAGCCATGTATCTGCGAATCGTATTGCACAAGTTAAGTTCGCTTTAGAAAGTGATACAGTTACCTGGAGAGGTAGAGATTGATCACTACGTTTCTAGTAATAGAATCAACAGCGAACACGTGTAATCAAAGTGACACAACGCCTAAAGCAGATTCATAGATAATTATAATAAGCAACCACTGGAAGAGGAACAAGACATATAAGCGAACAATATTGTTTTCAATTAGGTCTTCTTCAGGCTTTACTCTAATTTACATAGATATATATTTTAATCAATGACGGTGAGACACATGAACACCAGGTATAATAAAAAGGAAACTGACAACAGTCAAAAACAATTGTTCTTAAAATTGCAATTTAGTGGGGACGTGGCTAGTGAAGTCCTACATCTAAAATTATCGAGAACAATAAAACGGACTTATACTGCCACCATCTTTTGTTTGTCACTTTCCAGCCGACCAATTATGATTGCTTAAGCGAAAGACAAGCTACCTAGGTGGGCCACTTCTATGTGTATCTACAAATTTAGTTGCTAATGAGGGGAAAGCTATATAAGGCGAACAACCAGACAACTCAACAAACACAAATAATGAGCATCTTCCTTTATGGTTTGGAAAAGGACAAGTAAAATCTATAAGAAGTCTTATTTCGTCTCATTTGATTGATAGCAGTCACCAAGTGGACAGAAGAAGTGCCTTCAAAGTTATCTATCGCATTCCATCGAACCTTTCAAACGGAATTGGAACGGGCCTTTTACACATAGCCAAAGCTATGGAAATTTGAGAGAACAATCCTAGTCTTTGCAAACAAAAGAAGTTTGTTCTACCTTTGTCTCTCTCTCTTGGCCTAGGTGAATTCTATTCAAAACCATCGCACCCTTTCTTATTTTCCATTTCCTTCGTATTTTTATGATATTTGTTTAAACTCTGACTAACTGTCCACTTCACCTTTAGTATTACGTAACTTTTAGGATCTGACCTAATTTATTTATTGCATGGTCTACGTATACACATATTACTACATTTGTTATTCTTATCGCCACCTGAATAAGCCTTATTACCATTATTTTTCATATCATCACAATCATCGTTACTACTGATGTTCAAAACACTGAACACTTATTATTATTTGATCCACAAACCCAGCGTCATTCGTTAAATTCTGTTTTATATATAAATCTATGTAAATTAGAGTGAAGCCTGAAGAAGATCTAATTGAAAACAATATTGGTTACCGGGTTTCATCATGAGCTGACATCGGCTAGAGAACCATTGGAAAACATGCAGCGAGTATTGGACAGCCAGCTGTTTTGTCAGTCTAGTTTGCGACTCTTCATCAGTACACACTCATTTCCCAGGATTCCCACCTAGTACCTTCTGGTTACAAAGCGAGCTAGCTCGTAGACCATTAAGCCAATGGTACCCAATCCAATGAAGAACCCCAAACTAGGACGAAACAGCTGTCCAGTACTCCATGAAGGTTTTCCAATGGTTCTCTAAATGATGTCAACTCATGATGAAATCCTCCAACCAATCAAACAAAATCCCTACAAAACCAATACTTGAAAATTGATCTGATGCTCACTAGCGACTGGCCCTATTCAGGCAGCTTACCTGGGGTTCTAGTAGGAAGCCGTGACCAGTAGAGTACAGTATGTTGGAGGTGAGGCAGTAACTCAATAAGGAAGACATTGCGAAGTGGTCGAGCCATACCATGAATCGGCAGAAGTTAGAATTCATGGGCTGACCATTAGATCAGGTCTCAGTGGCTTCATGGTCTACGGGCTGGCTCGCCTTGTACCCAGAAGGCCCTGGGTTCGAACCCAGGTGTGGTGTGTGCGCACTGCTGAAGAGTCCCAAACTAGCCTGACGAAACAGCTGGCTGGTTTTCCAATGGTTCTCTAACCGTTGTCACCTCATGATGAAATCCTGTGACCAATTTCATTTTGGTTCCCACCCAGTTAATGCTTTCTACATTACGTAATTTTTATTTAAAATTTACAATTTTAATGATAAATCTTTGGAAATATTCATTTTGTTGCTAAGAAAATCAACTATATACATGTATATATATGCAGTTTTACAGCTTGAGAATGATATTGCCGAAAAGAAAAGTAACCTGTCACTGAACGTCTTTTCTTTTGTCTTTGGATTCAATAGCACAATGAAAAATAATAGAGCATGTTTTTAACTGGACACTAGTGAGTAACTAGTGTAATGTGTCTAGTCCTATCTTCGGTGCAGAATGAATTCTATCAGTCAAGCTTGCAATGTGGCCACCACCATGCCAGTAGGTGGCTCGCCATTACGGTGCACTGTGAAATTGTTGGTATTAGCTCAGTGGTAACGTCTCTGACTGCAGTACTCACTGCAGTGACGCGGGTTCGAACCTCAGAAGGGACATGAGTTCCTTTAAGGAGGTTGCAGATACGCCTTGCCAACTGACTGACTGATGAGTGCCAACTAGCACGAAACCTAGGTCTAGGTCGAAGGCTTCCTGTGGCCGATTGCCTCTAACCATCTAATATCAACAATAGAGAATGTTTACAGGATTTCATCATGAGCTGACATTAGTTAGAGAACCATTGGAAAACCACTTGGGAGTACCGGACAGCTGTTTCGTCCTAGTTTTGGACTCTTCAGCAGTACGCACCCGCCGCGAAAGTTCAAACCCAGGACCTTCTGGTTACAAGGCGAGCTAACTCGTAGACCATTAAGCCACTGGGACCGAATCCAATGAATTATAACTTCTACCAATTCACGACATAGCGCGACCCCTAGCCAATGTCTTCGGCGAGTATTTGTCCTCACACCCGACCTGCTGCACCCTACTGGTCACGACTTCTCACTAGAACTCCAGGTAGCTACCTACGTGAACAGGGCAAGTCGTTAGTGATCATCTCATCGATAACTAAGTGTTGGTTTGCAGGGATTTGATTGGTTACAGGATTTCATCATGAGCTGACACTGGTTAGAAAACCATTGGGAAACCTGGGAGTACTGGACAGCTGTCTTGTCCTAGTTTGGGAGTCCCAATGGTTCTCTAACCGAGGTCAGCTCATAATGAAATCCTGTAACCAATCGATCAAATCCCTACAAACAAACACTTAAATAGAGAATGTTACTGATATGCTGTCATACTGTCAAATGAACACACAAGTAAAATTAAGATTTTTTTTTTAAAAACACAAATAATCATCAATAATGTACATTTATTAGAAATCACACACACGCGTAATGTATATATAAAGTTATTGAAAGAAATATAATAATAATAAGATGGAGAGAATAAGAAAATCATTTTCGATAAAATTTCAACCACCAATTGTGTATACTATCACTGGTTGTACACAATACTTCTAAACCTCTTTGATCTTCATTAGTTAAACCAAAAAACATACTAGGCAAGCGTTTGACATCTCGTTCACGTTTTATAGCAGCTGAATAAGTGGATATACAATTTAAAATGGTTAAATCACTTCGGCCTAATAGCGCCATATCTTCTTCAGGCAGGGAATCAGTTTTCCAGACAACTTTTTCTACCTATTGATTGATTGTTGGTGTTGTCGTTTTGAATTCAAATTGTTAAAAGATAAGAAGAAGAAAGTGTTAATCATGTGGGTATTTAAATTACTGATAGAATAATACAATTATTATTACGAATAAACAATAATTATAATCATTACTATTCCCTTGGGTACCGAGTGAAACATAGGGCTTCAACAACACATCTCCACTTTGTTCTATTCTCTGCCATCCTATTCAGCTTGGTCCAAGATTGCCCAAAATCTCTCATCTCCTCCTCGCTACACAATCTCTTCCATGTCAACCTCACACTGACCACCCACTCTTCGCTTTCCATTGGGATTCCACTCGAGAACCTGATGCGCGATGTCATTCGACGGCCTCCTCAATGTATGCCTGATCCATATCCATTTTCTCCAGCATATTTGTTGAGCAATCAGGTCTTGGTTGATTTGTTCCCAGACAGAGTTTCTTGTTGCTAATTCTTTCTGGCCGGCCGGCCGGTCATTCGATCTTCAGTATGCAGTCAGCGAGCGGGGGAGGCAGCTGTTGATAATCCTTTTCGCCTCACGCTGTGCAAGTTTGTAACCCGCATAGAAAAAATGACTGACTCGACATTGGTGTTCAAAACCCGAATCTTGTTGTTGACGCTGGCTGAGTGCAGTGCAGAAGATTCCTAAACTGATTTCAGATTGATGAAGGCGTATCTCGCCTTTCCGATTCTGACTAGCTGGCATTGACATATTCATCCTTTCCGACTGCTTGTGGTTGAAATCATGCTTCCTAGATAAGTGAAGGAAGTAACCTCTGCTAAATCTCTCCTGCTGATGTTGATTGGTGCTGGTTGTTGTTGTTGTTGCGGTTCGTTGGTTATCTTCATCACCTCCGTCTTCTCCATGTTCACCTGCCTGCCGGCCTCTTCAACCAGCTTGTTGGTTTTCGCCTTACTGCAAGTTTCCGAGTTCGTGACACTAGACACATATCATTTGCGAAATACAGATCTTCTAGAGTCTTGCAGGGCTAGTCCCCAAACAGTCCCTCATCTACTTAGACGATATCATCGTGTTCGGCCAGTCTCTCGAAGAACACAATGATATCGTTTAAGTAGATGAGGCACTGTTTGGGGACTAGCCCTGCAAGTACTGTTTGCATGAGCCGTTGAAACGTAGCAGGCCAAATGGCATGGTTTCGAATTCGTATAGCCCCGTAGGCACAACAAACGCAGTTTTGGGGCGGTCTTCCGGGCGAATTTCAACTTGCCAATAGCCAATACTAGATCTAATGTGGAAAACCTCAAAATGTAAATTCCTGCAGAAATCTGTTATTTTCCTTGGACATGAGATTACTCCACAAGGAGTGCATACAGATAGCAGCAAAACCCAAGCAGTTGTCAACTGGCCGACCCCTAAATTGACAGCTGACGTACGCAGTTTCATGGGGCTTGCCTCTTTCGTCCAAAATGTCGCCAGTATAGCAGCCCCTCTCCATCGCTTGACAGAAAAAGGACGAAAATTCGTTTGGACAAATGAGTGCCAGGTAGCCTTTGATACGCTTAAAAAATGTCTAACTTGTCCCCCTGTTCTATCTTTTCAAGACACATCGGCTGACAGCGGTCCCTTTATTCTGGATACTGACGCCAGTGCGCATGCAATAGGAGCCGTCCTTTCGCAGACAACCTCTGACGGACAAACACGAGTGATAGCATATGCTAGTCGAATGCTGGACAAAAGAGAGACGCGGTATTCTACGACGCGCCGTGAGATGTTAGCCCTCGTATACTTTCTCGCCTACTTTCGCCACTACTTATTGGGGCGCAAATTTCGAGTCCGGACTGACCACAAGGCGTTACAGTGGCTACAAAATTTTCGTGATGCCGAGGGCCAACTTGCCCGCTGGCAGGAACGTGTACAGGAGTTTGACTTCACTTGTGAATATCGGCCCGGAAAACGACATGGTAACGCCGACGCTCTCTCTCGCCTGCCAGATTGCGAAAACACATTGAATGTGTTACTGGGTGCTGCAGCTGACACCGACTGGGCCTCCCTGCAAGCGGCGGACACAGCAATACAGCCCATTTATTTACGTCAACAGCATGGGAACGATAAACCGACGTCTAAAGAACTACGGGACTTACCAGCAGCTACGCGGTGCATCTGCGATAAATGGGGTCTACTACGACTTATAGATGATGTTCTTTACATAGTGGAACCAAATGCCAACCCCCGACTCCTCGTCCCAACCGTTAAAGTACCCGAGCTTATTAGTCAAGTACATCATCAACTGGGACACGCTGGCCAACAGAAAACTGAACACGCCATCCGTCAACGCTTCTGGTGGCCACTTATTCACCACGATGTTACGGAGTTTTGTCGCAATTGCGCTATATGTGCGCAGATCAAACAGCCCAAGCCAACTCCCCGAGCGCCCTTAGTGCCTATGTTGACTGAAGCCCCTAACTATCGAGTTGGCGTAGATATCATTGGGCCAGTACCAGCATCGAGACGCGGTAATCGTTATATACCTGTCATGGTTGATTATTTCACCAAGCGGTCCCTCTGCAGCAACAAGCTGCCCCAATGATCGGGAGCGCTTTCATCGACAATTGGGTGTCCCGTTTTGTTGTCCCCCCTTATCTGCACTCTGATCAAGGCGCTGCTTTCGAGAGTCTTCTTATCACTCACATCTGCAATGCGTTCGGTATTCGGAAGACCCATACTGCACCTGATCATCCACAAGGGAATGGACTGGTCGAACGCATCAACAGGACCATCAAGCATCTTCTCTGTGCCTTTTTGCACAATGCACCAGAGAATACCTGGGACGATGTCCTGCCCCAGTGCTTGCTTGCATACCGCTCCTCCGTGCATTCATCGACAGGATTTTCTCCGGCTCTGCTCCTGTTTGGTCGTGAACTTCGCCTTCCTGTCGAGATCCGGACACCGTTGCTACCATATGAGAAGATCGACTGTATTCCTTACGTCCGCAACCTTCGTCACCACCTCGACATAGCCTACAACCTGGCACGTCGGCATCTTCAGTCTTCTTCACAACATCAGAAAAGCAATTATGATCGGTTTGCCCACGGACCAACTTATTCCCCGGGTGACTACGTCTGGCTGCATCGTCCGTCAGTCCCCGCCGGTTCATGCCCCAAATTCTACTCCCCCTGGCAAGGTCCATATGAAATTGTACAGCACCGACCTCCGACTACATATGTCCTGCGGAACTTACGACGCCCTCAAGAAAATCTCATCTCAGCGCATTACAACCAGCTGAAACCACACTATCCAGCGGCTGTCAAAGACCCGCCGACATCTTCGCAACCGCCGCCGGCTACGACCTACTTCGAGGTGCCCACCGATGGAGGTAATGCATATCCGATACCGCCGCCAGGCACTGAGGACAGTGTCTCCAGAGGGGAGGGAGCGATGTAATGCTATAAAAACTAGCATGATGCCACTAAATGAGTTTTCTATTTTCTCTTTTTCAGAAAGGAACGCGGGCGTGGCCATGCTAGAGCAAGAAGAAGACCGTATGTCAAACCTTGTTATAAAGGACGATAATTAGCTTGTACCCGGGTAATTCGAACCCTGCGTGCTGGAAATAAAGACCTTCCTCTCGCATTTTCGTCTTCTTCCTTCGCTGGTGGTGCCTGTTGCTTTTGAGTGTTACAATATATATATATATATAAAGCAAGTTACTGCGTCATGTGAATACAATGACATAATTATAAGCAATGAATTGTTCTCGAAATGTCATCATGTTATTCATACTATATGTGTCATATCAAATCAAATTATCTACTCTCACATTAAATGAGTATGAGTTGAAGAATTACTGAAAACTAAGTAATATTCATGAGAACATATTCACAATCCTATTAGTGAAAATAAAAGTTTTACGAATGCATAGATCATTGAAGTATGATTAAGGAGGTGGTAACACCAACAGTTTTGACGACACAATAAGAAGACGTAGTTTATCTGAAACGTGTAATGTATTTGCGCAACACACTTCGGACATTCTGATCACACACGTACTTGTCATACACAGTTATATAGAAGGCAAGAAAGCATAAATTACTACAACACAGATCAGATTGTGTACAGATCAAGGTCACAAATAATGGGTAGGGAGATGACGCAAAGGTGTGGGTAAGAAAGAAAGGATGAAAAAAACAAAGGGGTTGAAAATATTATGAAATAAATTCAACATTGGTTCCGAGTTGGATTACGAAGGCAGGTTCAAAGTAATAACAAAGAACTTTGGGAAATATAAGACAGATTTAAGTCCCTTTATGGCCAAGACTTCAAAGAATTTAAGTATGTGACTCAACCTTGTTTTATATATGGGTTTAAAGGCATTATTGAAATCAACCTTATGACCCGTCTCTATAATGTGCTACGCTACAGATGATGTTGGACATTTATTTCCGGGATCAGTTGTATCCGGCGATTTTATTTGTTGTTGAGTTAAAGGCCCACTATTAACCCTGCTTAGAGCCTTCATTGTTCTACATAATATGACATAGACTTTCTTGAGAAGCCCAGGGAAGAATGTAGGCGAACAATAAAAAAGAATAGGCAGAATGCATGAATTAATTCATTTCAAGAGAAGCAGTTGAGTTATTCCAAGAAGTTTCAACTTCTTTAAGTAATACGTCGAACGAAAAACTGTTCTTAGAAATCAACAAGATATAAGACGACCAACAGAGATTCGAAGATAAACTAATGCCGAGATAGGAGACATTCGATTTACTCGCTGTCACAGTGCCGTCGATATTACAGGAATCATAGGACTGAATCAGTCAGGCCACGCAAGTCTTGTTCGTGTCTGCAACTAAAATCAACAATATGACATTTAGACGGATTTAGTTCAAGATCATTTCAGTGAGACCATTGGATAACTTCAGATAAGAATCTATTCATAACAGTACCATCCAATGCAGGTACTACTGGGGCAGAGATTGTTAGATCATCGGTATATTTAATAAAAATTAGCCTTAGAAGAATATGGTAGGTCATACAAAAAGAAAGAGAAAAGAAATGAAGAAAGCACAGCACCTTTAGGTACACCAGCTTCCTTCAGCAACGAAGTGGAGCGCTTCCCGCTAAAGACAGTAGGTTATTTCCTATCTGAAAAATTGGAAGACAGCCACCTTGTTACCCAGAGACTCAGTGCGTCCTGCAATCACTTTGTTTACTAACAGTGCCCTAGGAATAAAGTCAAAAGCAGAAGTGTAGTCTAAAGGGAAGATTCAAGCAAACTTTGCGCCTTTATCACTTAAACTCGAAACAATATTGTGATGGAGTACAATAGCAGCATCTAAAGTACTTCAACTACTGCATTTATAGGCAAACTACTGTGGGTCACTGGAAGATTTTAAAGAAGCTGCTTCAAGAACAAGTATAAAAGAAGTTTCTCCATAGTTTTCACAAATGGTGACGTGATGGTGATTGGCTCAAACATTAAACCTAATCGAAAAGATGATTTTGCTGCAGGCACAACCTTTATTTCTTTCCAAGCAGCAGATATCGTATTCCTGTGAAAAGAGGCATTAAAGATTTGTGTAAGAGAATAACCACTAAGTCATAATTAATTCATAACATGTGACTAATGAGTACAGTAGATTTATTAATAAGGCATCTTTCAATATTCATGTATAATCCCCATCCAGGCATTAATGAAAACAAAACACGTAGATCAGCGAAGAGTCTCTTTTCGGTGACAGCGAATTCATTTTCTTAGCTGTACAATCGCAAATATATATATGTGTTATTTTGTATGTATGTGTACAATAAGTTTATCAAACAAAAATACAATTGGTTATAGTTATTTAAACTAAACAGGTGAAGATTGGTAATTGGAGTTACGTAATACAAAATCAGTCAAGAAAATTAGGTGTTAGTGAAATTAGGGTAGTAACAAAGGTGATGAGTTATCACAAAAAGTTGTTAAAAAGGAGTTACGTAATAATATGAATAGTTTGATGATTGAGTTGTACTCAGGATACACACAGGAACAAAGTAGATAATACGAAATTACGCAAGAGTTCTAAATGAATACAAGAATTATAAGCAATTAAAGAACAGGCAAAGAAACAAAATTACGTCATCAAAAAAATCAAATCAAAAAAGTTGTTACCAAGACAGTAGAAGTGGTTGAGTAATCCTCTTTTGTATGCACAGCTCCGGTTTTTCTATGTGAATGGCCAGAGCTTCAGCGATACAAAGAAGGCGAAACCTTATCGCCTTTGATAGGTTGTTCTTGACTCTGTAGATTACTTTGAAGGAGGCATTTGTTGAAATGGAATGATCAGTGTTAACCAGGTGTTCAATTATCGCACTCCTTATTGCACCACTATTGCCTTTTCGCAACCATGCTGGATAGTGTTCTTGAATCCTCTTGGACAGGGTGCGCGTCGAACGACCGATGTACCTGGCTCCACAGCAGCAGGTGAACTGATATATGCACATACTAGTGGTCAGATGGGGGATCTTGTCCTTGAGGCTTCTGCAGATCAGTGGGCGACTGGAGAACACTATTCTTAGCGTTGCTGCAAAGAATGTTCTTCTCAGAGATGATGTGATCCTTTGTTCACCTTTGTTACTACCCTAATTTCACTAATATCTAATTTTCTTGACTGATTTTGTATTACGTAACTCCAATTACCAATCTTCACCTGTTTAGTTTAAATAACTATAACCAATTGTATTTTTGTTTGACAAACTTATTGTACACATACATACAAAATAACACATATATATTTGCGATTGTACAGCTAAGAAAATGAATTCGCTGTCACCGAAAAGAGACTCTTCGCTGATCTACGTGTTTTGTTTTCATCTTTCAATATCTCAAAGCAAACAAATACTACCCTGCAAAACGTAAATGACTGTTTACAGTGTATAAATCAAAGAAACAACATCACATCAGACCTTAAATCGTCATCTGAAGTCTGAAGAGCTGAAAATCGATTGGAAAATAAATCACTTAAACTTACTGTTGTATTCATTAGATGTTGACGAATTATTGACAGCATAGGATTATTATCAGTGGCTATATATACACTTCGGGCTTTTATTAAACCAACTGCATAGAGTATTGTTTGAAGAATTATTTCTTTCGATGGTGTACACATACTATCAGTAACTTTATACGGTGGAAATTCATTCATATCACCATGACATTGACCACTTGAAAATAAGGCTTTAGGAGTATGCTTTAAATATGAACAAGCATTCAACTGAAATAATCAAATAACGGTAAGACAAAAAAAGAAAGATCTTAATAGTTTGAAACGAAATAAAATAAAAAGCCAAATTTCAGCTGTATTCTGGACACCATCTTTACACATAGTACAGAATTCCTCAGCATACTTTATTGTTTTTAATAACTTCATCATCAGGTTCTACAGTTATATTATATAATAGTGAGTCAATTAGTGCTATTTGGATGGAGGATTTCACCATGAGCTGACATCAGTTAGAGAACCACTGGAAAACCAACTGGGAGTACTGGGCAGCTGTTTCGTCGGTCTAGTTTGGGACTCTTCATCAGTACGCACCCACCGGGGTTCGAATCCTGGGCCTTCTGGTTACAAGGCGAGCTAGCTCGTAGAACATTGAGCCACTGGGACCCGATCCAATGGGCCATGAGTTCTAATTCAGGCAGTGAACTGGCGTTCTAGTGGGAAGCCGTGACCAGTAGGGTACAGCAGGTTGAAGATGAGGCAGTAACTCATCGAAGAAGACATTGCGAAGTGGTCGCGCTATGTCATGAACTGGCAGAAGTTAGAATTCATGGACCATTGGATCGAGTCACAATGGTTTGATAGTCTACGAGCTCGCTAGCCTTTCAACCAGAAGGTCCTGAGTTCGAACCCCAGTGAGTGTGTACTGATGAGGACGAAACAGCTGTCCAGTACTCCCTGAAGTTTTTCAATGGTTCTCTAATTGATGTCAGCTCATGTTGAAATTCTCCATCCAATCAAACAAAATCCCTACAAAACCAATACTTGAAAATTAGTATTATTAACAACATTAATGTTGTTTAAATAACATCGAGTCAATAATAATAACATCAATGGATTACAGTGCGATAGCATCAACATAACACTACACACTGAATATCAGAGAAATTAGGATACATAATAATACGAATTCATGAATTTATAGTCTCTACTGAAGGCTGGACAGGGCAGTAGTAGTGACTGGACTTGCTTCTTTTGCACACAAAGCACTGACAGTTTCAGGCGAATCACGATAGCCTCTGTTGTTTGGAGCATGCGGTACCCCGATGTTTTTGGCAATTTATTTGGTACCCGGTAGATGATAGAGAAGGATTCTTCAATGCTAGCTAGCTTTGTGGCCGGTTTGGACCAGGTGGTCTAATATCGAACTGTTGATGGTTTTTACTACACCTTTACTTAGCCATAGTGGGAGATGTTCTCGAGCACGAAAAATCAAGTTCCTAGAGCAACGGCCAATATAACTCTCTCCACAAGCGCAGTTGAATTGGTAGATACAATTTGAAGTGGCTAGTCTATGTACTTCATCTTTCAATCGAGGAATCACCATAGGTCGTGTATAATATTTGATGTTTGAGGAACACAGGGCTTCAAAAGAACATCTCCATATTATCATGTTCTCTGAAGTCCTCTTTAGCTGACCAATCTCACCTTCTTCATGTCACCTTCAGAAGCCCAATTCGTCTTTTCCTATTCAGAATCTACTCGAGGGCCTAGTAAATGATGTTACTAAACGGTCTTCTCAGTGTGTCCAATTCATCTCTATTTTCTCCTAAATATTTGTTGAGCAATAAGTTCTTGGTTGGTTCTTTGTTGCTGATACTTTCTGATCGACCACCTGACCTTTAAAATGGATAGAAGGCAGTTGTATCATAAAAGTCTGCAGCACGCAGTTGGAAACGCTTCTCTTGACGCGCCAAACTTCTGAACCAAACAGAATCAATAACTACTTGACATTAGTAATGAAAACTCGGATTCTGTTGTTTATGCTGAGTACAGTAGATAGATAAGCAAACTGATTTCAGATAAATGAAAGTTTGTCTGATCCTGCCTTTGACATTCTAACCTGTGTTGCCTATACTGGCCTAGACAAGTGAAAGAAGTGACCTCCTCCAGATGTTTCCTGTCGATGGTGACCTGTTGACTTGTTGTTGTTGTTGGTTGTCAGGTATCTTCATCACCTCAATCTTCTCTGTGTCCACTTGAAGTACTGTCTTCATCGCCCCCAGCCTCTTCTGTCTACTTGTTGATTTTTGAGTTTCTGTAATATTAAACATAAATCATCCGCGAGATTCAGATCTTCTGGAGTCTTCTAATTCGTTCAACGTGTTCCTGTCTTCTTGCTCCCCACCGTTTGTTGCATTATCTAGTAGTAGTAGTAGTCGATAGTATATCGCGTAACGCAATGCCTATTCGATCTGAATCAAGATCCGATCGCTTATGGTATCTCTTTTCCTTTAAGATGTCCCCAGAAGTAGATTGAAAACTGATAAAGAAAAATGTGCATCAGTAAGTGTTGTGATCCGATGAATGTAATTGGATGATCACAACAACAAAAAATGGACATAAATTTAGCTAATCTAGTGATTTATGCAGATAGGATGAAAAAAATGACTAGTTAATCTACACCATAAAGAAAAACTAAAAGAAAAGGGATAAAAGTTTCTATTTTATATTTATACACGAAAAAAAACTATAATTTCCCAGAATAAAACGATAAATATACATATACTACTTTACATTTAACAAGTAGTTACTTCAAAATTGATTAAAGAAAACTATGATATGTTAATAGTTGAACCAATATAAATGCTTCTGAATATTAACGAAATATTCCCATATTCAGTTTTAAAAAAAGGACGTTAACAGCGAAGAAAATTTTCTTTTCGACGATTCATTTTCATAAGCTGGTGTACAATTGTAATCGCGTTTGGATTCGACCACTTCCAACTCTTTTCAAATCTAATGCGATGTCAGTTAACAAACATGTCCTAGCCATCTAAATCGATTCACCTTCACAGCCTCGTCGATTAACTTATCCTTCTGAAGGAACAAATACCCTACGCCTCATCTCAATACTACTCACCATAATATACCATTAATAAGATAATAAGATAACGTACACTAATCATTATTTATACCACTGAAAATACAATCGACATAGACTTACAAAATCTATTCCATTCCGTAAATGAACACCAACTATTGGTTTGATTAATGATTGATCAATATATTGATTAATAAGTGTATTAATACGATCACTCCATTCTAGATAACGATGATATAATCGATTTTTAGGATTCACGGGAAATGCTGAAATTGGTCCAACAAATGCAAGAACTGGATACATTTCTTTTGGAAATCTTAATATTCAGAAGAAAAAATCAATAAAAAAGGAGAAGATTTATGTGTTTTTTTAATGTCAACTTACAAATTGTCCCATTGTTCTTTTGAACTTTCTACACTTAAAGGAGAGTAGAATGTGGAACCAGTGAAGTTGACATTAAATCTATCCCAAAATGCTTTGAATGGATTACCATTTTTTGCATTACAATCGTTAACTAAAGGACCAGATCTAGGCTGCCAACAAATTACTTATAGTTTATTTTAGAGAAAAAAAGAAAAACATCTGTAAAAGAGAATTACAAGATACCTTTACGTCTATCTGTTGGCCATACTACAGGAGCCAAATTGATCATAAAATCTTCTTGTGAAATGACTTGATGAACTGATGAAAGTTTGGTAATATTGAATAACTCTCCAAAAGGTATGAATTCCTAAAAATTATCAAATGAACACTACACACACACACACTTACTGTACGAAATGATGACATCATAATCCATGGTGGTAAAACAAGTGTACGATTCACTTTGATAGCAAATGCAATCATGCCTAGAAATTGTTCTATTTGATTGCCTAGACGACCTATAGCGCATGATTGATGAACACATTGAACAACACATCGAGAGATGCAAACATACCCATACATGGACAGTATGTTATATAAGCAATACTGAACGGTATTACATAATGGCATATAATGACAATGCATAAAGGGAGAGCCACAAAGATACTATCGATTTTCATCCTCTAAAAAAGGTTTTAGAAAAAAGAAAGTAGAAGCAAAATATCACATGGAATTGTATGTAAAAACAATCTAGACAGCGGTGCTCATAATATAGAGAAGAAAATAAATGCACAGGAAATCTAAATGCTGACGCTGCTAACTGAGGTACTTCAAAAATGATTTCTTTTTTATGGTCTCGAAGCCTGGTACACAAACGAAAATGCAATTAACAAACACGCTAATATAGACCAAATATACCAACTAATAAAAAGTAAATCAGGTGACCAGAAAGTTTAAAATCCAAGTCAATAGAAAATGGTCAATACATATGTAAAGATAGTTACCAGGAGACGCAATTATATCACTCATGAAGAAATTTAAATCATTTCACTTTATGCTAAATATTGCGCTGAAGATGTTGTCCAGAAGGACGATGGAAGCTCCGCAACCAAACCAACCAGCTCAGAGAACACTATTAATTGCTAATACACACATTTTTCACAAGTCTAAAACACTAGCTAATGGTCAAAGTAAAAGAAACAACTTGTAACAGCTGGCAAATACTTTAACCTGCTGGATAGAATAAGCGAAACTATCTAGGCTGTATAGAATGTACCACTAAGAACTCAGTGTTACAGTCATCTGGTAATGATCTATTCAGGTTACTATTATTATTCCCTTGGGTTCCGAGTGGAACATACGGTTTCAATAACACAACTCCACTTTCTTCATTTTTCTGCCCTCCTCTTCAGCTCAGCCCACGATTGACCATAATCTCTCATCTCCTCCTCCTCCCCAACACACGATATCCTCCATGTCACTTTGGCACTGACTACCCACTCATCGCTTCCCATGTGGATTCCACTCGACAGTATTCAGTGATTAGCTGGGAAATGGTGAAATCAAAAACAATTGTTCTCAATTTTTGAAGCAAAGGAGTAGCAGACTCTTAAGGAACTATTGAAAAAAAAGATTTACAGATGGACAAGGGAAATGTAAATTGATATAGGGTCAAAGACTTAACAATACATCCATTTCTTGATAGTGAGAACCCCGGTTGGTGCATACTGCTGAAGAGTTCCAAACTAGGTTGGCGAAACAGCTGTTCCAATGGTTCTCTAACCGATGTCAGCTCATGATGAAATCCTCCAACCAATCAAACAAAATCCCTACAAAGCCAATACTTGAAAATTGATCTGATGCTTACCAGCGACTGGCTCTATTCAGGCAGTTACCTGGAGTTCTAGTCGGAAGCCATGACCAGTTAGGTGCAGCAGGTTGAAGGTGAAGCAGTAAATCATCGAAGAAGATATTGCGAAGTGATTGCGCTATTTCATGAATTGGCAGAAGTTAGAATTCATGGGCTGGACATTGGATCGGGTGGATCCCAGTGGCTTAACTGTCTACGAGCTAGCTCGCCTTGTAACCAGAAGGTCCTGGGTTCGAACCCTGGTGGTGGATGCGTAGTGCTGAAGAGTCCCGAACTAGGACGAAACATCTGTCCAGTACTTCCAGGTTTTCCAATGGTTCTCTAACCGATATCAGCTCATGATGAAATCTTGCAACCAGTCAAACTAAATCCCTACAAAAGCCAATACTTGAAAAAGTTATACGAATATCTTGTATATACTGTCGACAGCTAATACCCGTTTGTTGGTGCTCGCTGCTTATATAGTCTTTTGGATTTTATCAATGTTGGTTCTATTTCAAACGCCAAGATAATGACTAGACAGTGGACAAATAATGAATTCTTAGCTCATTACTCTAGTAGTCCTCCTTGTGAGTAGATTGTTTGTATGAGTTCATAACTATATTTTCACTAGTCACTATTTTTTTCTTAATGTCAGTTTGTTTGACTAACATTTATGATAGTTAATGAAACCCCTAAAAACCAACACATAAGAATCAATCTGATGCTCACTAGCGACTAGCTCGATACAAGAAGTTACCTGGAGTTCTAGTGAGAAGTCGTGACTAGCAGGGTCCACCAAGTTAGGTAAGAGAACAGTTACTCACCGTGGATATTGGGTGGCGTTTGCGTTATGTATCGCGAGATGGCCGAAGTTGGTATTCATGGGCCAATGAGTCAGGTCCCAGTGACTCACTTTATAACCGGATGGTCCTGGGTTCGAATCCCAGTGGGTGCGTGCGCCCTACTGAAGGGTCCCAAACTGGGACAAAACAGCTCTCCAATAGTCCCTAGTTTTCTAATGGTTCTCTAAACGACGTCTGTTCGTGATCAAACCTGTAACCGATTAAATCCCTAGGAAACAAAACTTGTAAACTCTGGATTTCATTATGCATCGGTACTTATGACTATCGAGTTAAACATGTTCAGTACAGGTGGTTGATTCCCACTATTGAAACACCATTTTAGTAGTATCACAAAGCAAGGGTTAAATGTACAATACGGACGTCAAATTAACTGGTACAGTAGTGAAACTCTTTCAGCTGGAGCGACTGAAATGTTTGCTCAGCAAACCAACAATTGCTTATTTTAACATACATCTTACCGTAAGTATAGTGGGGTTGGTAAGACACTGACAATGGCCATACTTAGACTTTTTTTCAATCGGTGACGTCACACAATTTCGAATTGGTCCAAATAACAGCGTGCAGTTCCATTGCGAATCATCATATCTTTGGTTCAAACTTTGCATAACTTTTATACGTTTAACTACAAAGTTATCGTAAATCTTAATAAATTTACGATGTTTGATACATATATACTCCATGAGAGGAATCTAGGTTTTCTAACCTTATTTCTCGAGGTGAGAGGAATTAGTGATTGAAGATACAAAACCATATGCTTCAAAATCAGTTGTTATTCAGGTTTATTTACCTTTTTATCTTTCTGTAAAGAGTAAACAGCTCATCAATCCACACTAATTGACTCTCAGACAGTTACGAATAATGGTAAGCTGAACTGGCGCTATTTTATGATATTCTCTTAAGTGGGAAAAATATTTACAAGAAATAACTTTCCGCCTTGCTGAGGCGTTTGTAATCTTTAATTACACCGTATTGGCAGAAGAGGATCTTAATTATTTCATTTCTCTAAGAACTGACCATTTGCAGCCTACGTGTCATTAATAAGCCTTAATCAACCTTTACCTTTCATTTCAAGACAATGTGATGTTCAAGCCACCGGTTATGTTGGTAAGTTTGAACAAAGTACGAAGACAATGCCGAGAAAATACATTGCACTGATCAAGGCACTCACTCTACTCGTACTCATGTAGCCAGATGAGAGCCTACGGAGAGTTGTCATCTGAACTGATGACAACTAGTGGTGTCCGTAAGGGATGCCCACTATCCCTATTTCTGTTTAACTTCATCATAAATGTACTAATGGACTTAACCCTAACTAACTTCAGAGATTCAGGGATTGACTTGTTACCGCCAAGGAATAATCTCATTGACTAAGAAAATGCAGATGATACAATCCTTCTAGGTGAAGACGCTGACAAAATACAGAGTCTTCTGAACACCTTGAGCTGCAATCTGCAGGTGTTTGGCATGCGATTCGCTCCCGCCAAATGTAAGACGATGCTACAGGACTGGAGTGGAATACATTGACTCCTAGCTTAGAAATAGGGAGTGAAGTGGTACAGCGTGTTGACCACCCCACTTATTTGGCAAGTTGCATCAGCCAACGCCAGAGGGCTTATCGCTGATGAAATCTCAGCACAGATACAGAAGGCCAGTCTGGCATATGCCCGTTTACGCCGTCTCTGGCGTAGACGTGATATCCGGCTGGCTGTTGACCAAAGGGCGTGTGTACTTCTCGGCATTTTGTGCTGTCTTCCTTTATGGCTGTGAGCGAGACAAGACCATTGAAAGTGGAAGATATGAAAAGGCCAGATAGCTGTCTTTGGTCATAAGTGCCTGCGTTCTATCTTCCGTGTGAACTGGTATAATAAGGTGAGTAATATTGAGGTTAGCCATCAGTTGAGTGCTAGGCAAGGAGGGGAAATCAATCGACGAGGCTGTGAAACTACATCGACTGAGATGGTTAGGACATGTGTTACGTATGCCTAGTCATCGCCTTCCTCGACGGGCAATGTTAGCTGGAAAAGAGACAGTGGCGGTCAAACCAAAACATGGCTTCATTAGTCAATGAAATCCACAACAGTTAGTTTTAGCCAGCCAGTTAGGGAGGTGTAGACTTCCTGACTGGTTGGGGTCCTCGGGACGGTAAACACCAATGGCTCGAGACAATCAGTGATATGGCTCAAAATCGTTCTCAATGGCTGGCGCAGGTGCATCTACTCCTTGTGACTTATAATTTCCAATAAAACTATATTGTTTTTCAAGATTACTATTCTTTTTGCCTCATATCTCTCTTTACTGTCTCTATTTTGAGTTTCTATTTACTTTCTTCTTCTCTGGCTTTGTGCTGAGTGAAGTGTGGCGACTCGAACTGCTGCACATCGGTGAAAAATTCTATGTTGAAACCAGTCAGTTAGTCAAAGTACGAAGACATTCACAGGATGAATAGTAAGATGCACAGTTTATATTCTGGCTTACCTCTTAAATTGACAACCCAATTTATTTATCCACCAAAATATATGATTGATGATGTCAATCTTTCACCATACAAAAATGCCTATGATGAATACGATTTAATCGGGAACATTTCACGAGAAATGATATCTACCTTGAATTTTTCCATGATTTACAACTACCGTCTAACCCAAAGAGTTCAGTTCCTAGGGCTATCATTATACTGCCTCATGGAGATATATACTTGAACTTTCACAAAGTTTTCTAATGATTCCAGAAAACATTCCTACGGTATCCTTCCCATTTTTCTTACAAGTTAGTGTTTCCCGGTGCCTCGCGTTATTTCATACAGAGAAATCAATAAACACTCAATAATCCTCTTCATATTTAACCGTTGTTGTCCTTAGACAATTTCAAGTCTTTACTCTTTAAAATAATTGTCAGCACCTTTAGCTTGACTTCTTTTCATCTTTCTTTGGAAGTGATGCAAAACATATTCAAGAAATGGCTTCCATGTAACTCTGCAAATGACGGTGTACGTCTTATTATAACCTTCAAGCAGTTATAGGTTGATACCACTTCAAAGATACACTTATGGGTTATCAGAAGTTAAAAAAGCATTGACTTCAATTCTTGTTTTCTTTCCTTACCGATTTCTATCTCTAATACTGTTGAATACAGTTACCCTGAATGATCTAAAAATATGACTCATCGACTTTCAGCTGAGGTATTTTAATTCCGAACTTCAGTCTGAAAAATCAGGTAGTATCATAAACTGTTGCATATTAAATATGGCACTGCATGGGTGAATTATTGTACTACAAGACGTTAATCAAAGTGGGGAAAATAATGCACTCGACTTGACTTTCAGCAAGTGTACTACAGACTGGAAATACCCTCTTACCTACATACAGCTAAGCTACAGGATATCAGGTAACTCATATGGTCCATAGATTAAAACAATTAACTGCACCTCGTAAATGATTTACACTTTATTTTATTTTTACATTAACAATGTTGGGAATGCATTTAACGAAAGTAAACAAAAATACTTACAAAGAAAATAGAAAGTCTTATCCTTAACAATAGGATATTATACTTGTAAAATTTTGGTTATTAAAATATAATTGCTGATAAATGTTGATGTTTTAATGCAGACTCCCATAATTCTCACTTTTTCTTCATTATATCTGCTGAGTCACGACATATATGACGGGATAACTTGATTCGTTACCTAAAGTTGTGAAATTAATCTTGGTTAATTGATTCAAAATAAACAACTACACAATGCTAAAGATAATCAACACTACTTAATCCCTTATATATTTAGATTGTCTGTCTACAAAAGGGGTAAGCTGTTTAACCTAAGGTGAACTGTAGTAGCTCCCTTGCTCAATCGCTTTACAACTGTGAATACTTTTTAAACACTAGAACTGTAGGGGGCAGTTAGTGGATTTAATAAGAATTTCATTATAAAGTCAGCATATGATACTTCTGGGGTATTAAACCCAGGTTATGACCAGTGGGGTTCATCAAGACAGGTGTAAAGACAAATACTCACTGAATCACAAAAGTTGGACTCACGGAACGGTAAATGAATAGTAACGTAGTCGCCTAGGAACTTGAAAAGAACCCGTGCTGTCAAGTTGGAGTCGTGATGGAGTACTACTTTAAAATCGCAAACAAGGAAAAAATAGCTATCCACTGTTCCTTTGATCTAAACAGTTCATTATTATTATTACTATTTTATTCCTTTACGTTCCCAGTGGAACACAGGGCTTCACGCTAGAGGCTTAAAATTTCGGCAGCAGTATTATTTATTTTTACGGGATGGGGTTGCTAGCCTCATTCCCAACCTTCCCTCCCTATCAGTCCTATTACTAGCTTAGCGAAGTAAAGGAGTGTGTCGGCCGGGGATCGATCCCCGGGCCACCTGCGTGGTTAGCGAGCATCCTACTGCTGTGCCACCTTCACGTGTGGTCTTTGCAGATCTGTTTTTCCTTCCCTAAGTCTACTGGTGAATTATATCTGGCTGTGGAAATGGTGGAAAGGGATTGGGTAAAGGTGGAGACAAACGACATCGCAAGGATCTCCGAGACAACATCCAAGGCATCACGAAGCCCGCTATCCGCCGTCCCGCTCATTGTGGTGGTGTGAAACGCATCCCAGGCCTAATTTAGGAAAAGACTCGTGGTAACCTAAAGGTGTTTTTGGAGAATATGATTGGTGACGCTGCAACACACACGGAGAATGCCAAGAGGAAGACAATGACAACTATGGATGTTGTGTACGCTTAGAAACAGTTCTTTAGATTCAGATTCAGATTCAGATTCAGTTGATAAGGATAGAAGGCTCTTGTGGCCTGTGTTAATCCTTGCAAAATATATCTCTGCAGAGATCTAACTTCTCTTTGAAAGCGTTCACCGATGGAGCTGTTACTACTGAATCAGGTAAGGAGTTCCAGTCGTTGACCACTCTATGAGAGAATCTAAATTCTGCACGTATTTTAATCGTCCTCGGTTTGAGCACCTTTTTGCGGTGACCCCGTAAATGTATCCTAGAAGGAGAGAAAAGTTTAGAAAGGTCAGTTCCTAAATCACCCTTAAGTATACGGTAAGCCAAAATTAGGTCGCCTCTCTTCCTTCGGTATGATAACGGAAAGAGATTTAGATGCTCCATCCTCTTATCATAAGGAAGGTGTGATATACCACTAACTAGTTTCGTTCCTACTCTCTGTACTCTTTCCAGGATATATGCCTCCTTTTTGAAGCATGGACCCGCCGCTTGTACGCAGTATTCTAGATGAGGCCTAACATATGTTGCGTAGAGTATTTGGAACATGCCCTCATCTAATCGTTTGAAAGCCCTACGGAGTGCCCATAGCATTCGAAAAGCCTTAGCTGCGGCTGCATTGCAGTTTGCAGTTGTTTTCAAATCATTGCTGACAATGATTCCTAGGTCCTTCTGTTCGTTAACATCAGGTAGTTCTGTGTCCCCTAGGGAGTACGACGTATAAGACTTCTGACCTAAGTGCATTACTGCGCTTTTCCTAGAATTCATTTTCAAACTCCACAGGTTCGACCACTCCGCTAATTTATCTAGATCAGTTTGTAGGGCCGACCTGTCCTCGCTATTGTTTACAGTTTTCCATATCTTAATGTCATCTGCAAATAACAATGAAGATGAAGTAAGAATCCCTGGTAGCTCATTAACGTATAATAGGAATAGCAAGGGGCCTAATACAGTTCCCTGGGGCACTCCACTGGATACTGCTTTCCACCCTGATAGTACACCGTTAACCCTAACCTTCTGCCTTCTATCCATTAGGTAATCCCTAAACCACTCACATAGGCATTGGTCTAGTCCGAAACCTTTAAGTTTACTAAGGAGACCTAAGTGGGATACTTTGTCGAATGCCTTGCTAAGATCAATAAAAACCACGTCCAACAGAAGGTTTTTATCTCTGGCCTCGACCCAATCTTCCCTAGCTAACAGTAAGTTTGTTAAGCAGGATCGTCCTGGTCGGAATCCATGCTGTTCAACTGCCAGTAAGCCATTTGTTTCAACGTAAGCTAATAGCTGATCCCTTATAATAGTTTCCATTACCTTTGCTATAATGCATGTTAGACTTACCGGCCTGTAGTTAGATACCAATTGCCTGTCCCCCTCTTTGAATATAGGGCTTATAATGGCATCCTTCCAGTCCCTGGGTAGCTTAGCCTGGGTCAGTGACATTTGGAAAATCTCCGCGAGTGGAATATATATTATATCCGCCAAGGAAATTAATAATTTAGGGTGAAGTCCATCAGGCCCCGGTGATTTACCTGGTTTCAGTTTAGACAGTAGTTTGAGGACTTTTGTGTGCTCTACCACAATTGAGGGCATCTGAGTGGCGATGGCAGTAACCTCGCCATATCCCTGGGTGGTACTATCAGACGAGAAGACGTCACAGAAGTATTCAGAGAGGTTTTCAGCCTTTCCTTCGTCTGACTCAGCCGTTTCTCCACTAATGCTTATGAGTGACGGTATACCATTGCTAGTTTTAGTCCTACGTTTAATATACGAGAAGAGCCTTTTTGGGTAGTGAACACTATCTAGCACAAGCCGTCTCTCATATTCTATACGACTCTTGTTAATCGCATACTTACAGAGATTTCGAATTTTGCGGTAGTCTTTCTGGAAATTTTCCCTTCCTGTCATAATAAATTGGTCCCATAAGTTCTTTCGCCGTCTTAATAGCCTCCTTATTTCACTAGTAATCCAAGGTGGCTTGTGCGATAGCTTTCGAGGAGTGTACCAAGGTATAAAAGGTGAAGTGACACAATCTAGTGTATTTCTAAATCCTACCCAAGCTTCCTCGACAGTCCGACTTGTATCTACTGACCAGTCAACTGAAGTTGCTGCGTTCCGGATTCCTTGTATATCCGCTTTCCAAATGTTTGGACGAGCAGATTTTGACCTGTGTATGAGAGAATGAATCTTAAACGTAAAAGCAATGACTATGTGGTCACTGCTGCCAAGCGGTGGAAGGCACCTAATGTCACCAACGTCCTCCTTCTGGTGTGTTAATATCAAATCTAGAGTAGATGGATCATGTTCCGGGTGATACCGTGTTGGTGCATGCATATGTTGCACGAGTGCACATTCAAGCACTGTCAATGTGAACTCCCTATTGAAACAGGTATACAGACTAGTGGAGTTTAATTCCCCCCAGTTAATGTGTGGAGCATTAAAGTCGCCAACAACCAGACACCTATTTCTACTACCCCACGCCCTCAAGTGATTTAGAACGAAGTCATCAGCTTGACTAGCAGGACTTCTGTAAATAACTCCGATCGTTAAAGTGCCTTTGCTCAGATTAATAACGCAGCTTGCAGCCTCACTGGTACCGCTGTCATGAGCTTCTGACAACGTTGACCTAATCCCTATGTCATCGCGGATGTATAGAGCAACCCCACCACCTTTCCGACTACTTACTCTATCTGCTCGAATACAGATGTACCCAGGTATGAGTGGAGTTAAGTCTACACCCACTAACAACCATGTCTCAGTGATAGCAATCACATCAGGTTGTAGTCTTTCAGATAACTCTCCTAATTCGGCGAGTTTATTCCTAAGACTACAAGCGTTCGTATAGCACACCGAGACACCTACGTGTTCATCCGGCTTATGAAGAGAGGTCTCGGCAGCATCGGTTTCCGAGACCTCACCACCCGAAAACCCAATATCTTGAGGTCTTTTTCACCTTTCTCTAGTCTGGCCTTTAGTTCAGCCACGGCTTCTCTTCTTTTGATTCTATCTTCTAAAGGCCAATCAGGCCTTATTTTTAAGCTTTTATCGTTAATTTTGAACGCGTTGTTGAGGATGGTGCTTTTCTCTGTTTCATTCCCTAAAACTATCTTAAGTAGTCGTCGAGAAGTTTCCGTAGCATCAGGGTTTCGTTTTCCGATCCTGATGGCTTTTCTTACGTGAACTCCAATTGTTTTTTCGGGAAGTATTTCCCGGATTATGGAGCTAACCGCCTTCAGATCATCTGCATGTCGGGCAGCTGGATCTGTGTTCTTAGATTCCTCCAAATTCCAGATGATAACACTGTAACTGGAGTCCGTAGGTTTCTGAGTTTGGCTGGTACTAACAGCCATCGAGACCTTGTTGGTGAACTCGGTTGCTGTTTCTTTCCTTCGTTTATTTTGCTTCTTACCTGACGGCACCAACCAAGTGGAGTCAGTTTCTTCCACTTTGTTTTCGCCGCAACTAGAGGCCATTCGTGCACTAGACACGCTGCGCTTTGGGGTGGCCATTTCACAGGCTGGTGTTGCCATGCTGGCACTACTCGCCCTTTTAGATTTCCTTTGCCGTTTGCGCTTAGTCGCTACAGACATTTGAGCACTCTGTGCCTCTTTTGCCCCCTGAGCTACAGGTGGCGATACACCTTCGGTTTTAAAATTATGCCCTGAACCGCCATTTTTGGCTATGATTTCTGGTACAGGCTTCTCGACTACGTCTTTAGTCAATTTCTTGGACATCAGGAGTCCCACTGCCTCTTGGATGAGGACATCCAACGGGTTGCTGCAAAATTTGCACAGCCACGGAGATGACGGCATGCAACATCTCTTATAGGCTACTGGTGACAAACCAGTGCAAACCTTGTGAAACCATAGGCTGCAGTTGTCACACTGCATACCATCATCCACCGGAAAGTGGCAGTCCGGTCGTCCGCAATTGTTATTCGGACCCATAGCGCTAATTTGTTTCAACAACACAAATATATGTACGTGAAAACTGTGAGGTTTATACCAACCAAATACACAAATGTATATACGTGAAAAAAAAGCGTAAATACCGAACAAAACACAGACTGTGAATAATATGAACAACACTTCAACTAAATAAATCAGTTAAAGTGAACTAAAAAGCTTCTGATGTGGTTTAAACAACAAAAGCAGAATTTACTTCACAACGTAAAAATGCCACTGTCCTTTTAACTATGAATAACTACATTTTCACAATTTTGTGTTCCTATTACTTTCTTATGTATCAGTAACATAGCAAATTCGTCGTTTTTAAGTATGAAAGTCACTAAAAATACACCTGTGAAGCATTTACAAGTAGCACAAAATAGATATGTCTAAAAATCTTAGACACTGAGAATTTTCGAAATGCCTCAATGTTTAATGGGAATTCTTATGTTGTCACGTTCCAAAAGGAAAAAGAGGCGTTTAAGCTATGATTCCTTCGCAGAGAATCTAGTCTCCACAGCTATTACTGAAGATGCAGGTTCAATACTTTGTCATATTCAGAACAAATTATCTAGAAACGATGACTCAGTTTATCGTTCATATTGGCTTTGCCTGCTTCATGTACCCATGTAGAGTCCGTCTATGAATACGTAAAAGTGGCTAACACGAATAACAGTATACCCATTATATTGTTAGACAGACGCCAGACGCATACCATACAACAGGTTGTGTTGATTATTTTTGCCAATTAGTGTTTCAAAACTGTTTTATAATTGACTATAGTCACACATCTGTATCTTCTCACAAGAAGTCTATATATCTTAACTTCACAATGTACCAGCTTCACAGTATTCCTGTATACACTCTAAAAAACGATCAGGTGTCTGCTATATTTCTTCCTCTTCTATTCACTAACCTTAAAAATTTTGGAGTTAAATTTCCACCCTTTTAACTGATATAGGAATACACAGGGTAAAATTTTAGTGTTACTGAGGAGATTCCCAGCCTAATAATAAATACTTAACTTGAAGAATAAGATAACTGCTCATTAAGGTTTCCTTTAGAATTTATAGGAAAATTCGACAAGTTTCCACTCATCAATCCCGAAACAAAGCTAAAATTTTCATGTAATACATATTTATTTCAGCATTTAAAAATCATCATCAAATAACAAAAAAGCACGAACAAACCTTATTAAATCACATTTCAGTGAAATGTAGCGCAAACCTTTGAAGTCTGCGCTTTGAAAGAGGTCCGATGTTTCCGTGAATTTACGAAGCATCTGAAAAAAAGTGTGGAATGGTTATGATCGGGCTTATACGAACGGATGGCTGTCCAGTACTTTCTTAATTGATCTATTGTCTCCTGGTAAGACTTAAGTGTAGATTTTCCGATCTCGAAAAGCCGCCGTTAATAACAGTGCCCATACAGATCCCTAGGTTTGTGTGACCGCTAAATCGGTGCTATCTTCTATCAGGTCCCTTGCAAATTGTAAACAGTGTGAACACAACCACATCCGTGTATTGTCTTCAAGTCTGAACTTTTCAGGCCTGCTCACGCTTAGGAATATCTGTCTGCTCGTAATGGTGTGTTGCCAGAAATTAGGATATGCGCCGCACTCACTTCAAGAATAGTGGCAAGATAAGCCTACTAGTCTGATCAGATAACCGCTCTTCAGGACATATTCATCGCGAGGGGAATCAATGAAAATGTCCTTGTGAATTAATAATGCCAAAATCCGCCATACTTTTCATCTGAGATATCCTGAAAGATACGCCAATTAAGTCAGAAAACATGTTATTAGGAAGCGCTCTAATAAATGACTTCATTTTTTAGAATCGAAATCCAGCTGGCTCCAAGCCGTACTCAACTGGAAACTTATGATTTTCAGCATTGTTATATATTTAACAACACACTAGTGGACCCAACATTTGGTCACTCACAATCAGACAACTAAACACACGCAGCAACGTAATCGTTTACCTCCATAAATTGGAATAGTAGATAGTGATCCTGAAACCAAAAGAGTGCTCTCTAGAAGAACAAATTTGAAATATATAAGACAAAGCTTATTTGCGATCCTGTAAGTCTAGTAACAGCCGAAGTGAAACTAGAGGAGAGTATCGTGGTAATTGGTAAAACCGATATGTGTAATTGATTGTTGAACCTGCTCAGGTGGATACCTTATAAAGCATCCCTTGAAACAGCGCTGAAGACCTGTTCATTGGGATGGAATTACGCTAAGGTGTATTCTATTCTCTCAAATAAATATGCTCATTAAAATCAGATTAAAATTCAGATTAACCTACACAGAATTTAGTCGGATCATCCGAAATACCGGTGCATTTTGGGAGTGACACTGCTGAGCTGGGATAAGTCACTAGCCAACTAGAGATCATAGGTAAATAGCCGAAAATAATACAAGTATGCCAGGTAGCATGAGTGATTCACTACTCACGAGGGACTTGACTACTAGATTTAATATCAGTGGCCATCAGTATATGAATATTAAGGTGAAGAGTCGTGATTTCGTGAAACTGTGAAACTGGCATGCACCCCAAGGATCCAGAAGAAATCCATTGTCTTACTAAGCTAAAAGCCAGTTATTAACATAGTATTCTGTATATCAGTGCCGAGGTGGTCCATTACACACTTTCCACAACTAAATCAGTGGGAAACTCAAGCTCTGAAAATCTTGATCGGGAGCATTGCATTGAATAGTGATATAAACAGCTTTATTAGGGACAGAATGTTTACAGAATGCACTGAATACTCAGAGTAATCTATCACATAATTCATCTCCGAGAATTGCGCACAGGTTAGTTGAAACCCAATTAACAATGTGTGTGAATGCGTTTTCCAGCCCAAGAAAATAACTGTTTAACTAAAGCAATACGATTTAGAAAGAATATAATGCACCGTGGGGCATGGAATTTTGGGTGGCTTAAAGATTCAAGTAGGCAGCTGAACAGTCTCCTGCTAAAGCGCGTTCGGGAGCAGTGTCTGTCAGTATTACCGGTATACTTAATACCTTCAGTTAATGTCACCTTAACTATAGAAGTACAGTGTAATTCAATGATGCAATAGTCTACTCAGCCAAATAGTCAACAGATAAACAATCACGAAATGTAAAATACCTCAGTCAAACAAAGTAAATGTGCCAACCTAATGTCAGAAGGTTACATATCAGCTTCTAGTGTCAGATGATGGATAGACCTGCAGTGAGCCCTGACCTGACCTTGGGACACATGAAATTCCAACTTTGACTACACAACCCCAAGTGCCCCGACAGTGACGTTTCAGCAACACGTGATAACGTTAAGTCAAAATCCACTGAAGGTATTAGGATCTCTGCAAACTAGCAGTTGGAAAGCTCTCACTGAACCACATACACTTAAAGATAAGTTTTACAGTAACCCAATGGCTTCCAATTATACGAGTAATTATTTGTAAACAGTACTCAAAATCGGTTAAGTAACGAAAGTTACAAAATTCTTCCACATCTACCTACAAAATAATATTTGGAAAGAAAACCTAGAAACAGTAAAATGAATTGGAGGATCAATTCGTTTCACTGATGAATGAGGATTTCATGATATTATTATAAACCTGTTCATTATGAGATGCACGGGATTATTGACTTGGTGGGATGCCAAACACTTCATACAGCCGTTACATCTAAGATGGTACTATCTAACGCCACAGTAGTTGGTAAGCGCGTAGTTGCAAGGGACTTAAATGCACCAGGAAAGTTACTCGGCGAAATTCAGGCGTTACTGTATTGTGAAGCTATAGACGTGTTTATTATTCTGTAAAATTTCCAGCCTCACTGCAGCAAATATTCCCAATTACCCATCTAATTAGAAGCTTACCTAACATTTTGGTACTTATAGCAAGATACGAGTCGAAAAAACCCAGCTACCTAGAACACACTCCGAAAAGCAATAAATTTAAATAGAATAAATGTTGAAGTGATATACAGGAAATATCTACCCAATATATCTGACTCCGAGGTTATGCGTAAAGCTGAGTCGAGCCAAGCCGGATGCGTTCCCGCTAAGACAAAACTTAAAACACTTAAGGCACGAAACGGTGGTTTGGGAGCCTATTTAGTCAATGTTTGGTTAATTTGTTTTAACCTACTTATTGCGGCCACAGTTGTATTTCGGTTTCAGGAAGGTCTAACGCAGCATCCTGATTATACTACGTATAAACAAACTATTCTGTTCTGTTGGATGCTAGTGTAAGGCCAAGTGGACGAGTGAGACTACATCAACAATCTTTACTTTATCTCGAAAGAATAAAATTAGACCAGAATCTTATACAACAGTGAATTACTCCAGCCAAGTAATGAGAAACAGCCAGTGGATTCAACTATTAACTTCACTTGCCATGACATGCTTTATTTCATGGCTTTATAGACAAATTTATGTGTACTAAGGACGACCATCAAGCTCTTCCTTTATAACCTTGGGAGACATTTTAACTTGATATATATATACATATATATATATATATATATGTTCATCCCGACTCATTCTCCCCACTATCCAGTCGTACACTGTCACAACTATTGTTTGTTTGTTCATGCTAACACAAAGAGGTTTTAGCTAATTTCGACAACTTTTTAGTTTGCCACAGTTTGGTTAGAGATGAACACGCAGTATTTGAGATACAGGCACCTACAAAGAACTGTGAAATGAATCAGTAACTCACGGAAAAACTTTGAATGGCCAGTCGAAAATGTCTTGCTGATAAGAAAAAGACTATTGATATAAGGATAGGTCTTGGGCACTGTGGTAGAGTACAGTCCCATAATAGAGAATATTTATTCGATAAATTAGCAGATTGTTATATTAATTTATTTATTTATTTAGCGTTTCGAGCACATTTTAGAGCCCTATGGCAAATTTCACCTCTGGACAACTGAAAGGCGTACTGGCACTAGAGATGTTAGAACGAGCAGTTGCGCCGGAAATCAAATTCGGACTCTTAATCGTAACCTATTTTTAATCTAATCCCAACATATACCCAAACCTAACACTAGTCTATCCCAAACCAAACCTAATATCACCCTAATAAGGTCAACCTGACCCCGTCATGTCCCTAGCCTAAACGTAACCAACAACTAACCAGATACTTTTTTTTTATTTTTGATTACAGCTTGATTCCACACCGTATTTTCAGTACAAGTATGGAATTTTCAGCATGGATATCGGTAGCCCAAATTTCAGACCGACCATAGATATCGGGTGTGCGCCGGCAGGGGATCGAACCCCGGACCATGTGCATGGTCGGCGAGAGTCCTAACCACTGTGCCACCATCGTGTTCATGACCGTTACACTTAATCCAACACTTTTCTTCGTGAATATAGAGTTATTTGCCCCGCACTTTTGCCTTGCTCTGACTGAAAGTTCCAAGATAATTGGCACTTTCGCGCCTGCCAGGTGTCTAAAGTTTGATTTCGTCCATCAGGTTATGCATCGACAGACCCAGCTTTTATTAATTGTGCCAAGTCGATTGTTCATTGGGTGGATAAATTAAATCAAATTCTAAAATATTAAGGAATGTGAACGATGGGCAACAAATGGACTATTAAGTCCATGTGACAACCAGTCCAACTTCCTATCACTAGACTACACAAAAAACGTAGTAGTAATCATATTTTGTGCACTGATAGGTTCAATAATGAAAGTGGGTTACTTAATATTTATTGCTACTAGTGTAAAGCAAAAAAGACCGATGAGGGTTGAAAGAATGTTTATCAGGACAAACGCATTGTAGGTAGATAAATTTCGTATATCTTGTCTTCAATGCTTTATTTACACATCATTTGCATCAAGTGTCACCACATTCGATAGCTTGTTGGATTGTGCACATTGCTGTAAAGTTCTTCTCACAGTTTTCTTCTTCGGCTGACTTTCTCTAGTGTCCAAAATATATTGTTACTTTCTGAATTCGTTTACTGATATACTGCTTACATCTGATTATAAGTAGCACACACCACACTATCAACTGACATATAAAATTTGCAATTATGTTGAAACGTTTTTGTAAATCAGCTTAATAATAATTATTTATTTAGACTGTAAGCAGCTGACGAAGATTTAACAAAATAACTGTTGGCACCATATTATTCTGCACAAACTGTCGTTCTTGATCTATTTAAATTCATAAAAGGGAATAACTGCATGGAATAACTTCTCAGTGCATTTGGCAGTGACTTCATTAAA